GCCTGGAGATTACCGAGGATCTCCAATGGGGAGGAGGGCTGCTTTGTTTACTAACAGTCCTCCTCCTGTCGGCTCGGTCACACTGCTCTGGGTGGCTGTGCACAGAACAGCCATCCAGAGCAGTGTGATTGCAGTGAAACACCCCCCCCCCAGTAAAACACTCCCAGCACACAGTTAACCCTTTGATCGCCCCTCATGTTAACCCCTTCCTGCCCAGTGCCATTAGTTTTTTTTTTTAGCACTGAACACTGATCATTGGTGTCACTGGTGAAGTCAGTTCTCCCCAGTGTCAGAATGCCCGCCACAGTCCCGCTATAGATCGCTAATTGTTGCCATTATTAGTAAAAAAAATAATTCCAATATCTATACCGCTGTATAAACGCTATAACTTTCGCGTAAACCAATTAATTTACACGTATTGGGATTTTTTTTTATGAAAGACATGTAGCAGAATACATTTTGGCCTACATTTAAGCTGAAATTTTAATTTTTACATTTTTTTACTGGACATGTTTAATAGCAAAAAGTCAAAAATATTATTTTTTTCTCAAAATTGCCGGTCTTTTTTTTTATAGCGCAAAAAATAAAAACTGCACAGGTGATCAAGTACCTCCGAAAGAAAGCTCAATGCGTGGGAAAAAAGGACATAAATTTAATTTGGGTACAGTGTTGCATGACCACGCAATTGTCAGTTAAAGTAACGCAGTGCCATAACGCAAAAAATGGCCTGGTCAGGAAGGGGGGTAAATCCTAAGGAGGGCAAGTAGCTAAACGTAGCTAAAAGTAGCTAAAATCTTACACCTGTATGCAACTGGAGTTTAAGTTCCGCTCTTTTAAGTTCCAATTCTTTGTGCTTGAGAACTGAGAAAGGCTCATCATACTATTATCTGTATGTTTTACTTCTGTTTCTATTTGATGTCATTACATATATTACAGTATATATTTATTTATTTATTTATTTATCGAGTTTATATAGCGCCAAAGGGTTTGCTCAGCGCTGTACAATAGAGGGGGGGACAATACATGAAACAGAACAGTAACATCAAACAGTACACAAGGGGTAAGAGGGCCCTACTCTTTCGAGCTTACAATCTAGGAGGGAGGGGGTAGAGGCACAGGAGGAAACGGCTGTGGGGGATGGAGTGGTAGGGAGGAGGGAAGGGCAGCGGCTGTTAGGTGAGGGTGGGGTAGGCTTCCCTGAAGAGGTGGGTTTTCAGGGAGCGCCTGAAGGTGAGGAGGGAAGGTGACAGTCTGATGGATTGGGGTAGTGAGTTCCAGAGGATGGGGGAGGACCTGGAGAAGTCTTGCAGTCGTGCGTGGGAGGAGAAGACCAGGGAGCAAGATAGAAGGAGGTCCTGTGAAGAGCGAAGGGTACGGGTAGGGTGGTACCTGGGAATCAGGTCGGTGAGGTAGTTAGGGGCAGTGTTGTGAATGGCCTTATATGTCAGGGTGAGCAATTTGAATTTAATGCGTTGGGCAATGGGGAGCCAGTGGAGGGAGAGGCAGAGGGGGGTGGCAGAGGTGGAGCGGCTGGTGAGGTGGATGAGTCTGGCAGCTGAGTTCAGGATGGTCTGAAGCGGGGAGAGTTTGCACTGGGGTAGGCCGGTGAGGAGGGAGTTGCAGTAGTCAAGGCGTGAGATAATCAGGGAGTGTACGAGTAGTTTAGTGGTGTCTGGGGTAAGGAAGGAGCGTATCTTGGCGATGTTCCGGAGGTGGAGCCTGCATGTGTTTGTAAGTGATTTGATATGAGGTTGAAAGGAAAGGTTTGAGTCCAGAATGACGCCAAGGACCTTGGCTTGCTGGGCGGGATTGATGGTGGTGTTGTTGGTAGTGATGGAAAGGATGGGGGGGGGCGCGGGCTGGGGGGAAGACGAGAAGCTCGGTTTTGGAGAGGTTGAGCTTGAGGAAATGGAGCGACATCCAGTCAGAGATGTCGTTTAGGAGGTGAGTGATGCGGGTGGAGAATGTGGGGGTGAGGTGAGGGGTGGATAGGTAGATTTGAGTATCATCAGCGTAGAGGTGGTAATTGAAGCCGTGGGAGTGTATGAGTTTGCCAAGGGAGGAGGTGTAGATGGAGAAGAGAAGGGGTCCAAGGACATATATAGTGAAAGTGACAGCTCACTCATCCTAATGCAAAATTGGATTCTCCCACAACTTAGCAACTTATGGGTACTGTACGGGTTCTTTCAGACAGGTGGCAACTGTCACAGGGCTACAATACTTTGCTTCACGACCATGGCATTTTTAACTTCTTGTGAATGAAGACGTAAAACTCGCAATCTACAGAAGACTTCAAGCACAGTACAGGTGAGGAGACTCTCAGCCGCAGTAAGACAATTGAATGGTGTAAACATTTCAAAGATGGCTGTCCGTCCATCAGTGACGACCCAGCCCACAGCAGTCATTGCTGTGAACATTCAGCACGTGGAAAGCCTGATCTTGGATAATCAACGCATAACCTGACATGAAATTGCACAAAAGATGAATCTTTCTGTGGGAATGGTGAACACAATGATGATTCAGGCATACTAACAAATCTTTCTATGCCGAAGCTTTCCAGGCATTAGTAATGCTGGGATAAGTGTATAAATGTAGCAGGGGAGTATGTCAAATAATAAATGCAGTTTCCACTCCTTGAAATTTGTTCTTTTATATTAAAAACTCAAAAGTCCCAGTTTGACTTGAATGCCCCCCTCATGTTGTATGCAGTGCACTGAACTTTTTGATGCATTATTTAAACATGGTTCTTTGAGGATGTCCATTCCACAAAACTCTGAGTATATTCCCAAGCACAACAGTTCTGGCATGTGTCAAAATTACCAAGAGGCAAACCAACCAAGATATTGGCTGCTGTAAAAAAGAATACTAGCACTAAAGTTACCCCTCTTTCTCACTAGTAAAGCATAAATGCATCAATGTGCATTGTACCAAAGTATTTGCATTGTCAAAGGAATAGGTAGATTTTTTGCAGTTGTAGGAGGGTGTTGCTGGAAGGGGCATCTGCCCGTCCACTAATCCTATGGACAGCACAGTCTCCTAGGAACAGAGATCTTGCTCAGGTTCTTGGCTGTTTACAGGAATGTGCAGAGTTGCCGTCTGAGGGCCTGTCAGCGTGATTTGCCGATATGTCTATGTGAAGACTGGACAGTGACAGTCCCGATGCAGAGAAGTTGATGCCATTCCGATGTGGCAATTGGCATCACCACTGTGCTGAACTGATGTGTAGAGTCCCGCAGCAGAAGGCCAGCATTCTGTCTCTGGAGAACAGCAGTCCTCCTGTGCTTAGCTCTGAATCCCACAACAAGAGAGACAGCCTTTTCATTGCTGTAGAATATCTCTTCTCTCCCAGCAACCCTCTCCTTCCGCAGTTCGATCAGCACTCAGGAATACAGGATATATTGGCTATAGGACTACAGGTCCCAAGATCATCTGCAGTAGAAAAACTGGTTCCATTCTGCTAACAGGACGTGATGTAGCAGTCACAGTACTGGATACTAGGGGGAAAAAGATTACCCATTGTCTCATCAGTAACTGTCCCTGAATGGCATAATGATAGAGCCAGCACCTGGCTACACTAAATACAATTAGAAAACTCCCTAATTACCATTCTTTAATTATTATTTCATAACACTATCAATAGCCTTTTATATTTTGAGCACTTAAAAATACATCTAACTCTTTTTATTTTCAAACAATCTACTGAGTCAGCTAAGGGGAGTTGCTATGGAAGCCTTTTTGCACATTTTCAGAGCTTTTACAGTAAGAACCCTTCCCATATGTGGAGGTTAAAACTATTTTCCTCCAGTCACAAAGGGATTTATTTATAAAACATTTGCATTGTAATTCACCCATTGAAAGTGCATGTGCATTCATTCTGTGTGAATGGAGCAAAAAGCTATTGTTATCAGGGTATTTCCTTTGCTGGATGAATGCAGTATTTTCTGGTTTAAATCATATTAGAAACATTCGTCCAGCAGAGGAGATAGCCTAGTAACATTTGTTTTTTTTTCACATTGTCACAGAATGGATTTACCTTCACTCTCCATCTGTAGGTTAAGGTTGCTCTGTACCATGACAGACACACCTAGACCTAGTACTGGTGGCACAGAGAATCAAAAGATTTCACACATATGCAAAAAAATATTGAAACTGTAGTTTATTTTTTTTAAAAATGTAGTTTATTTTTTTATGTGAAAAAGCTACTTACTCTCAAATAGATTTATAAAAATATCAATGGCAGCAGAGAAAGTGAGAAATTTGACATTTATACATCGTTGTCACGCTGTCTTTTGGCAGAAATGTTGGTCTAAAGAAGATTTAAAATTGACATTTGAGGCATTCACCTCTGATGTTCCTAGACAGAAAGTCTGCTATTACCAGTGGCTTCCCTAGGGGGGTGCGGGCCGCACCGGGTGACACCATCACAGGGGGTGCAGGATGCCAGCAGAGCTTCTGGGCTCTGTGAAGTTTCTGGCCAGTTATTGGGGTGATCCCAGATTCCCGCCAGTGACAGCTGTCCCCGGTGTAGCAGTAAAATGAGTATCCCGTGAAGATATGTATCCTTTGAAGCAACTGCACATGTGCCGGGTTCAGGCCGCAGAAGTCGATCTCCGACTTTAGCACATAGCTGTCACAGTTAACCCCTTACAGGCTGCAAACCACTGAAGCTGATCCCACAGATCACTATGGGTTGCAAGATCAGTTAACCCCGTATAGGTTCAACCTATACGGAGTTAACTGATGTTGCCTAAATGTGGCATTTAGGCATGTCAAGTGTTTTTAAGGGTAATTTTTTTCTAGTGTTTTGGGAAAAATGCTAATAAACGCAAACACGCGTAAATGAGCCTAAACACGTGTACAATATGCTCCATAGCAGCTTTTTTTGCTTTTTTTCTGCCAGCAGTTGTGACATTTTTCTGCTGCATAGTGTGCATGGACCCCTATACCTTTCAAGTGGTATGCAGTAAATGTCCAAGCTGGTTTCTATGAGCCTGTGTCCAGTGGGCAGGGGCGGACTGACCATTTGGAAACTTGGGCAGTGCCCGAGGGCCCAGGGTCAGTAGGGGGCCCATGAAATGCCCCTGGTACCTTTTTCATAGGCTTGTTTGAGTTTGGGCAAGGACACAGGGGCCCCATGATCCCCTATTGCCCGGGGAGCCCCATGAGTTGTCAGTCCGCCCCTGCCAGTGGGTGATTTTGTTGAGTGTCATTCCCTCCACAACATGTATGCAGAAATAGATGGGTGCAGTGACATGCTTTATAAATCTACATGGATTGTTAAATATATTTTTTACAGTAGCTGTGTCAAGTTTACAACATGAAAGGGATTGAATGTTCAAAGAAAAAATTATTTCAAACTGTCTACCTTCCTTGTTAAAAATTCTGTTTATATTGTTAGTTATCCTAGATATATCAGCATAAACATTGGATTTCAAAGGATAGTTCATACAGGAAACACTACAAGGAATCTGATCTCAACAAGATATGCCATTAAACAGCTGTGCTTATCACCAGACTGGATTGTGATAGACCTCTTAGGGAGTCTACTCTGGTGTATTCAAGAGCAGAGCTGTATCTTCTAATTGGTACTTGTAAGCCATTGCTTAGAACTGCAAAGGAAGTGGGAAAGTACAAAATCTTAACCTTTACAATTTGGATTTACATTTTCTTCTAGTGTGGCACATCTGGTCATTTATAGTCAAAACTAGCTAAACAACTGAAAGGGACTTGGGTCACAAATGTCTGCACCCTGTACGCCAAGTAACAAGCAGTCACCTCCTCTTCTTCTGAATGTTCTTGGTTGATGGTTGTACAGTACAAGGGTATATACAGCACACTTTATAATGACTTCTATAGTACATGCTTTTATTTTCAAGAGGAAAATGTAACCTAAATGGATAAAAAAAAAGAACTAAGCCTTATAAAGGATTGTCTTCATAAACATGTGCCAAGGCTTGGAGTAAAGTAAACCTGTCACAAACTATGCAAACCAATGGCAACCACCCCAACCTATAACTAGCCTTTGCAGCAAGGGCAATGCACATCAAATACAAACTAAAATTCCCAGCTCACTTACTAGCCAGCCTGCAACAAAACCAAATTGACCTTGTTTCACGCTTCACGTTAAAAACAAGGGGGTAGTCGCACACATTTGCGAACATATGTGTAAGCTGCAGTGGCCATGTCAAGGCACCCCAGTGTGCTGTTTGATGTACGTATCTAGTTTTGATATTTTCTTTATCCCTGTTGAAGGGGAAACCTTATTGTAGCCCAAAATTCTGGTGCAGCTGTGTATGATGGCCAAACAGCTTCTAACTTCAGCTTCTTCAATCAAGCTTCAGAAATAAAACCTGGAAGTTGATTGGATTATATGCAGAGCTGCACCAGATTTTGCAGTCTCCAGTTTTAGTAAATAACCCTCATTGACTTGTTGTTCTTGATTTATTTAGACTTCTGTGATTCAATAAATATACTTGGACTCCTATACTCTGGTGAAGTCTCTTAGGCCGACCAAAGATTAGTTGAAAAACAAACATTCTGTTGATTGTAAAACAAAAATGGTGCATACAATTGCGCTATCATTTGTTTCATTGTTCTAAACAAAATCCAGCATGTTGGATCAGGCACTTTTGATTGCAACATGAAAACCGTGTGCCACAGCTGGCACACTAATGATGCGAAAAACAAACAGTTTGTTTGGTTTTCGACTTGTCTATGGTCTGCTTTACTCTCCCATTGTTTACCCAGGGTGCCTTTGAGGCCTCTTCCTGTTAGAGAGCTGTCATTGTGCTCCACAGTATGGGCTCACCTTCACATGGAGGAACAAAATCAGTTTTGGTCCAGGGCCTCCCAGCTACATCTTTTGAAATATAGCGTAGGTTGGTTCACCACTGGTGTGGTGTAGATATCTGTCATGTTTGTATCGCAAGCACAGTAGACCCGTTACTGCATCATTGTGACTATAGAAATCTTTATATATTAGCAGGGGTGGACTGACAACTCATGGGGCCCCTGAGCAATAGGGGATCATGGGGCCCCTGTGTCCTTGCCCAAACTCAAAAAAGCCTATGAAAAAAGTACCAGGGGCATCTCATGGGGCCCCCTACTGACCCTGGACCCTCAGGCAGTGCCCGAGTTTCCAAATGGTCAGTCCGCCCCTGTATATTAGCAACCCCAAGGAATAGAAGATGATCTTCAACATTCCTTATGTGTTAATCTTGTGCAGAAACATGTTTAACTACCTCTGTCTTCTTCCCTGTTCAGCAGTGACCAGTTGCAATAGACTCATTTTGCTAAGTTTCAGACCATTGGGCATTTTTTTTTTCTCTCCCCACTTTTTTGGTCTCTTCCACCTTTGTCAATTTTCAGCTCACTGAGGGACTTTAAAAGAGAAGTGTGGACTTATTGTTTTTTCCCCAATAATACTTACCTAGGTGGATGCAGCATCAGTCTGGCTCTAATTGTAAGAACCAGGGGCGGACTGACCATTTGGGAACTCGGGCACTGCCCGAGGGCCCGGGGTCAGTAGGGGGCCCCATGAGATGCCCCTGGTACCTTTCATAGGCTTTTTTGGGTATGGTTTGGTTTGAGTGTGGGCGAGGACACAGGGGCCCCATGATCCCCTATTGTCCCGGGGCCCCATGAGTTGTCAGTCCGCCCCTGGTAAGAATTCAGCGATCACATGACCGCTGATTACTGAGTTCTCACAGCCGCTCTGAGCAGAGACTGTCAGTCACTGCTGTCTGTTCTCCCCCCCCCCCCCCCCCCCGCCCTCAGTAGAGCACTGGGCTGTGGAAGGGGAGGGAGCTGCTGGCTTAGGCTCTCAGCGGTTTGCTGAGATGCTGAGCCAGATGCCGCTCCAGACTCTGGGGTGGATCCCAACTTTGAAGTCAGGAACTTTTCCCAGCTTTGACCGGCTGAGTGACATCAGCCGCCAGGGGGCTTCAGCCTGCTGTTGACTGAAAACGGGTCACAGGAGTGCAGAACGAACTGCACTCCTGTGATCCACAGGAGAAGTACAGCCAAAAGAGCTTTGGCTGCACTTCTTCTTTAAGCAACCCTGCATGCACCTTCCTATTTGAAGTTATCCCATTCATATACATATAGACTATTCCCATTCTTCTCTGAACTGCTGTTCACATGAGCTCCAGACATGCATTAGTAGGGTCTAGCTGTATTGCTTTCTTTCTTTCTTTCTTTCTTGTACTTATATAGCACTGTCAATTTACACAGCACTTTACATATATATTGGGCATTCACATCAGTCCCTAACCATCAAGGGGCGTACAATCTAAGGTCCCTAACTCACATTCATACATACACATACTAGGGACAATTTAGACAGGATCCAATTAACCTACCAGCATGTCTTTGGAGTGTGGGAGGAAAACAGAGTACCTGGAGGAATTTCATGCAGACACAGGGAGAACATGTAAACTCTAGGCAGGTGGTGCTATGGTTGGGATTTGAACCAATGCCCCAGTGCTGCCAGGTGAAAAGGCTAAGCATTTAGCCACTGTGCTGCCCTATATAGCCACATGTATGTACAGTACATGATCATCACTGCTATACCATATAAGGTTTGTAGCGTCCAGCACACATGTGAGAACAGGGCCTGTGTTGCTTTTTTTCTCAGAAATGACAAACAGATTCTGGTTCATTTTCTATCCTTTCTGAGCTTGAGAACAGCTTTTATCTGCATCTGGATCATGTGCCTGCCTGTACACTGTTGCTATAGTGCTGTAGTCTCATTCACTGTTGTTAGCTTCCTATTTATAGGATTCCATTTATTTACATTTATTTTGTGTATTTTGTATTGTGTTGCAGTCTTCATATCTACTTGCTGCTTCTGTTGCGCATTTAATTTGATCCGTGATGTCGGAATCCGACCCCAGTGTGTCCTTTATTCACTCACTGGATGATCATCAACAGTCTCAGCAAGCTGCCAATGTTGTCAGATAGAAACTAAATCCAGCTAAGGCTTCGGGAGTGAATTCTCCTTGTTTATCCTGCCTCTTCTCTCTCCTCCATTGCATTACAATCTTTTATTAGATATTTAGGTCCTTTAACCATTTCCATACCGGGCACTTTTACCCCCTTCCTTCCCAGGCCGTTTTTCAGGTTTCAGCGCTGTCACACTTTGAATGACAATTGCATGGTCATACAACATTGTACTCAAACTAAAATTTTATCATTTTCTTCACACAAGTAGAGCTTTCTTTTGGTGGTATTTAATCAACACTGGGGTTTTTATTTTTTGCTAAATTAACAAAAAAAGACTGAAAATTTTGAAAAAAAACCACTTTTTTCTTTGTTTCTGTTATAAAAGTTTGCAAATAAATAACTGTTCTTCATAAATTTAGGCCAAGATGTATTCTACTACATGTCTTTGGTGAAAATAACCCAAATTAGGATGTATTTTTTAGTTTGTAGGAAAGTTATAGAGTTCACAAACTATGGTATAGATCTGAATATTGATCAATCCTGAAGTACTGACAGCGAATCTACCGTATTTTTCGCTCCATAAGACGCACCTGACCATAAGATGCGCCTAGGTTTTAGAGGAGAAAAACAAGAAAAAAAAATATTCTGAACCAATGGACTGCAGACATAGTACAGGAAATGACCAAAGACTGCAGACATAGTACAGGAGATGACCAGAGACTGCAGACAGTACAGGAGATGACCAAATACTGCGGACACAGTAGAGGAGAAAGACCAGAGACTCCGGACATAGTACAGGAGATGACCAGAGACTGCGGACATAGTACAGGAGATGACCAGAGACTGCAGATGTACTACAGCAGATGACCAGAGACTCCGGACATAGTACAGGAGATGACCAGAGACTGCAGACATAGTACAGGAGATGACCAGAGACTGCGGACACAGTACAGGAGATGACCAGAGACTGCGGACATACTACAGGAGATGACCAGAGACTGCGGACATAGTACAGGAGATGACCAGAGACTGTGGACACAGTACAGGATATGACCAGAGACTGCGGAGACAGTACAGGATATGACCAGAGACTGCGGACAGTACAGGAGATGACCAGAGACTGCGGACAGTACAGGAGATGACCAGAGACTGCGGACAGTACAGGAGATGACCAGAGACTGCAGACAGTACAGGAGATGACCAGAGACTGCGGACAGTACAGGAGATGACCAGAGACTGCGGACATAGTACAGGAGATGACCAGAGACTGCGGACAGTACAGGAGATGACCAGAGACTGCGGACAGTACAGGAGATGACCAGAGACTGCGGACATAGTACAGATGACCAGAGACTGCAGACAGTACAGGAGATGACCAGAGACTGCGGACAGTACAGGAGATGACCAGAGACTGCGGACATAGTACAGATGACCAGAGACTGCAGACAGTACAGGGCATGACCAGACACTGCGGACCTTTAGGGAGGGGGAGGGGGAGCGGGTACCTGAATTTGACACTATGGTACGAGGTACACGGCCAGTGACAGATCGCACCGCTGCACGGCTCTGCAGGCGCGCAAACTGCGCATGCCCGAAAGCACGCCATATGGCGTCCACCTGGAACGCTAAGGGATTTTGCTGGTCAACAATCGGCCATTGGCCAGGTGGCTAGAGGTTAATACCCACATTTAAAGGAGAAATAAATGCAAAACTTTTTTTCTCATTTTGGATAGAGTATGGAATGGTTAAAACTGCTGTCATTTTTTTTCCACCTCTGTCTTAATGAGAAGATTTTCCTTCACTTCCTGTCCCATAGCCAAAACAGGAAGTGAGAAGAAAGCCCTCCAAAGTGCAGCTATCTCTGCTTGTCATAAGGGTCACTGGAACTAGTGTCCTCATTGGAAGATTCCCCTCTGTTCCTGTTCTGGTGACAACCCAAAATTTGGGATTTTCTTTTACCTTTACCCACTGTGATAACAGTCAACACTACAATTTGAGAAGGTGAATCTTCCTAATGGGGAAAAACACAGCACTAAAATCCTATCAGGTGTTCTAATCCCTCTCCATGCTATCCAAAAACAAAAAAAAATGTTTGCCTTTAGTTATACTTTAACCAAATTTACAAAACGTAGTCTGTCTTCACTTGACAACAATTTAAGAAACGTTATAATGGTTTTTGTCAATTGGTTGATTTTTTCTTTCATCTGTTATTTGTTTAAAAGAGGAAATAAATATTATATATATATATATATATATATATCTCTTAATACACATTTCATACATAGCAAAGGATTTCTGGGGCACTACGGGTTAGCTAAGAAGACAACAGAGCAGAGGTTGCATGCTTAGAAGCTTGTTTCCCTGTAACTTTGGCCTGGGCCATCTAATATGGGACACATCATTGTGACTAGTCTTTGGCATGTATGTGTTAATTGCATCCTAAGCTATAGAGTTCTATCAACAACAGGATTTTAAAGTGGAACTTTACCCAAACGGGAAAGTCCCGCTTGTTTGTATCCTCCCCCCTCCGCTGCCACATTTGGCACTTGGGAGGGGGGAGCAGGTACCTGGTTTTGACATGTGCCCGCCCTGACTTAGAGGTCAGATTGCCATGGCAACCATTCACAAAGTGTGGAACCATTCACAAAGTGTAGCACGCATCATGCATGCGCAGTAGAAAGCCAGTTGTGAAGCCGCGAGGCTTCACTGCCGGTTTCTCTTACTCAAGATGTCGACACCTGTACCCAAAGCCAATTGGCTCGGGTGAGGACATTGCTGGATTCCTGAACAGGTATGTGTCCTTATATTAAAGTCAGCAGCTGCAGTATTCGTAGCTGCTGACTTTTAATTTTTTAGGGGAGCCTGGAGCTCTGCTTAAACTTCAAAGAAGCAAATGGGGTGCCTGGAAAACTTAAAAAGAAGCTCAAAGCTCCACCTACTGACTCAAAAGGAGATAGCCATTTTTACTATACAATATTTCATAACAACCTGACTAAAATCAAAGGACCTTAGCAAGTAATACAAATGCACATATAAACACTATGGTCATTTTTGGCCTGAATCCACCGTGTCTGCCAGTATGTTTTAACTGTTTCCCAACCAGGGGTGGACTGACCATTTGGAAACTTGGGCACTGCCGAGAGGGCCCGGGGTCAGTAGGGGGCCCCATGAGATGCCCCTGGTACCTTTTTCATAGGCTTTTTTGAGTTTGGGCAAGGACACAGGGGCCCCATGATCCCCTATTGCCCGGAGGCCCCATGAGTTGTCAGTCCACCCCTGTTCCCAACCACCCTATAGCAGATATACTGCTACAGGGTGGCATGCAGCTGTCAATCACCGGGTCCAGGCCAGTGATTACTGACTGGCACCTGATGATTGCAAAGCATCTCCGATGGGGGAGGAGAACTGTTTGTAAGCAAAACAGTTCTCCTCCCTGTCAGCTCGTGCTCAATGCTTTGGATGGCTGTGCACAGCACAGCCATGCAAAGCAGTGTGCTTACAGTGAAGCACAAACACACGGTCCCATAGTAAAACACTCTCAGTGCACAGTTAACCCTTTGATCACCCCTCATGTTAACCCCTTCCCGCCCAGTGCCATTAGTACAGTGTCCGTGCTTTTTTTTTAGCACCGATCACTGTATTGGTGTCATTGGGGATGTCAGTGATACCAAGTCAGTTCTCCCCCGTGTCAGAATGCCCACCACAGTCCCACAGTCCCACGATAAGTCACTGATCGCAGCCATTACTAGTAAAAATAAAAACATTCCAGTATATATACCGCCATTTGTAAACACTATAACTTTCACGTAACGCAATTAATTTACACGTATTGGGATTTTTTTTTTTTTTAGTAAAGACATGTAGCAGAATACATTTTGGCCTAAATTTATGACATAATGTGATTTTTAATTTTTTTTTACTGGACATGTTTAATAGACGAAAGTATAAAATAGTTTTTTTCTCAAAATTGCCGGTATTTTTTTCTTTATACGCAAAAAATAAAAAACACACAGGTGATCAAATACCACCAAAAGAAAGCTCAATGCGTGGGAAAAAAGACATACATTTTATTTGGGTGCAGCGTTGCATGACAATTGTCAGTTAAAGTAACACAGTGTCGTAAAGCAAAAATGGTCTGGTCAGGAAGGGGGGTAAATCCTCAGGAGGACAAGTGGTTAAGGAGTAAATCAGAACCCTGGAAAATCCCATATAAAAATGGGAAAAACATGCCAACTCCATGTAAATATTAGCAGACCCTAGTATTCGAGCCCTTAGTACCGACCACTTTCCCGGGGTGTGAGCGTGGTTACCAACCACAGACATACATTCTCATAGAAAGCAAATGTCTGTGTTTATGTGCTTCTTCAGAGAGAGAACAACCTAAAATTATTGTGCAAATTATATATATTGTGAAGGAAAAAAAACAGTAAATCTTACACCATTAAGGGTATATATTAAATGGCCCGTGTCTTGTGATATAATTTGGACAGAGATCCCCAACAAAATTTAAATATGACTACTGGATTTGGTTAATAATCTGAGTATGGTTGTTTAATAAACCTGGATATGTCTGTTGCTCAGATTTGCACAAATTGCAGGCCACCCCAATCCTATCAATCATGGTACCAGCAAAGGCCACCAAAGACTTTAGAGTATGATTGGACATGATTCAGATGTCCTCAGGTATTTATGCATTCTGCAGAGTCCCTGAACATGAACATTGTATCATACAATTGTTCATGTAGAGAGGTGAGGAGACACACTTCAGACACCTCTGGTGCCAGTTTATTATGGGGAAAGCATGACAATATGCACAAGATTTGCTAGCTTGACCAAATGATTCTGGTCTAACAAATCTTGACTTATGGTATTTGCTGGTGACCCATAGACAGATAATTTCTTGATCCCAACGTCAGGATGGACAGACTGTGATCTATGTTTTCTGGGCACTTTAAGGAGCAAACTGTTACTTGTTCATGTTTATTCAAAGTCCATCCCAAATTCTAAAGGTTCCAACATTTTGCTGTATATTGCCAATAGAACATTTACGGATTCATGATTGATGACACTAATTGGTTCATCTCTTCTCATGTCCTGTAGTAGTTATAGGAAAATAGAATGAGCCAGACTAAATCAGGTTCAGTGTATTACAGGGAATTTATATTATAGAATGAGGACAGATGATATTTAAGCAATTGCGAATTGCCATACAGGATTGCTTTTATTTGTGTAAAGGAGAATTTCAAGCGAAGTGAAATGAATAAATGAATATAACAAATATGGAATATAGAAAAATAACATAAGAGCAATAAGCAGACAGATTACAATAAAAAAAAAAAAAATTAGCAGCAGATAGGTTAACAGGTGCAGTTTTAAATGAGTGGAGTTTCCCTTTAAGTTTTGCTCATTAAGCACTGGATATGCAAACCATATGTGCTGAAAAATGGGCCCTCAGTTTGTTCTTTGGGATCTTCAAACAATCAGCACATCCCAGAAATTATACCCCTAATTTTAGTCTTCAACTTCTGAAGTGTTAACAAAGATATAATGGCAATAATACTGTTATCTGGTTGAGAAGAAATTCAGCTGCATGAATATACCTTAATAAAGATGTTTCACAGTATGATAATAATTGGTAAGTGCATTAAGTGATAATGAAAATGCCGAAATGTATGAAGATACATTTCTATGCACTGATAATGAACAAGCTGTGTTGTATAATGATGCTGATTATGCATACACTGCAAATGAATACACTAAATTGTACACTGATGAGAGTATACAGTAAATGAGCATTGTCTGCTCTGTAGAGCCATATCTGCATTGTTGAATCCCCTTCTGTGCTAATCACAGATGTCTTGGAGGATGGGTGTTAACAGTGTCAGGACCAGCTGTGTCGACTCCCAAGGCGAAGCTGTGCTCCCCAAGCCTTCCTGTGCTTGTGGACGACTTTTATGATTTTCACTGCTTGCACATTATACATATCTGCATGCACAGAGGAACCTTTCATTACTAAGGTGATACAAAACGCATTGATGATGTGGAGCAACCTAATGTAAGCAGATTCCGTCTTTATCTTCATTTTACTTGAGTATATTGACAGCTGGGTGGTTGCTCTGGTTTACTGCACTTTATCATGGCACTTCTTAATTACATTAGGCAATAATATTAATAATAAATGCTTCTGGTTTTCTGTTGCTCTAGAACAACCTTTTTCAAACATTTTATCCCAGAGGAACTATTGAAATAATTTTCACATCTCAGGGAACCCCTACTAAATGAGTTCTTTGGGAGTCATTAGGAAAATGCAATGGTGGTTAGATTGGTACTCCTACAGACAGCGTTGGTGTCGTGCTACTGCCTCTGCCGTGTGGTCATGGACCTGGATCTATGAAGGCACCAACAGATAGCAGGTCAATCAGCCACAGCTCAAGGAACCTCTAGCAACCTTGGAGGAATCCTAAGGTTCCACAGAACCCTGATTGATAATGCATGCTCTAGAATAATATACACAATCTAAATGTGTTACATTAGGGTTCAGTTTTTGGAGCTGCATGGGTCTTCTGACACTGAAACCAAGCTGAAGCTGTAAAGTTGTCCTACCTGCCTCTAAGCTAGCCAAGTCCCTGACAATAAAATAGTCCCTAATACTTGAAGTATATTTTTAGACAAAACCCTTTTTTTTTCTTTTTGCTTTGGATAGAATGGGGAAGGGTGAGGCCTCCTAATTTGCAATGCTGTCTGCATCCTCTATTTGTACTGATCATCATTATCACTACACAGCAGGGGCGGACTGACCATTCCAACACTGGCACTGCCTGAGGGCCCAGTCTCAGTAAGGGGCCCCATAAAATGCCCCTGGTAACTTTTATAGGCTTTTTTGGGTGTGTTTTGAGTGTGGGCAAGGACACAGGGGCCCCATGATCCCCAATTGCCCGGGGGCCCCATGAGTTGTCAGTCTGCCCCTGCTACACAGGAAAGTAATAGGCAATCTTTCTATGGTAAAACCTGTCCTGGAGACAACTGCTTAAAGATGACCATACACCAGTAGAATTTGGTGCAAAATTTTCCATTTTAAGAATGTTCATTCAATATTTGTTTTCAAACGAAGTGATCAGAAAATTCAAAGGAGCAGAATGGAAAATGTTTCTGGAATTAAAGATTTTCAGTAAACAGTATACATGGTTTTTAGTTGGGAAATTATATTTATTACGGGCAGCACAGTGGCTAAATGGTTAGCACTTCCACCTGGCAGTACTAGGGTCCTTGGTTCAAATCCCTACCATGGCACCACCTGCCTGGAGTTTGCATGCTGTCCCTGTGCCTGCATGGGTTTTCGCTAGCTACTCCGGTTTCCTCCCACACTCCAAAGACATGCTGGTAGGTTAATTGGATCCTGTCTAAATTGTCCCCAGTATATGTATGTATGAATGTAAGTTAGGGACCTTAAGATTGTACACTCCTTGAGGGTTAGGGACTGATGTGAATGTACAATATGTATATGTAAAGCACTGAGTAAATTGACGGCGCTATATAAATACCTAAAATAAATAAATTCCAAGACCGAATGTTAAAAGCAAACAAAATATTGATGTAATTTTGAACGACATTTGTCCAGTCATCAAAGAAAGTTTGTGCAAATGTTAATTCAAATATTCATATGAACATTCATTTGTAAATCTACTCGTGTATTGCCAGCTTTAGAGAGGAATTCTCCTCAATTTGAGATATTTCCATTAACTTTCTGTTAAATGAAGAAAAACCCTGCGGGGGGTATTAACCCAACCCTACTCTATCCAAAACTAAATACAAGATTTGGCTATTCATATATATTGCAGGAAGAGAGTAGAGAGGCTGTCATTGCTGAACTCTCTTACCTAGATGTCATTCTGTTCCAGTTCTGTGGATTCCGTACTTTCTAAAGCATAGGCTTAGAACAAGTATGTATATAGAAACTACAGCCTTCCCTTGTGTTATCTGCTGTCATTTTGACAGTTGAGGTTCTGCTCTGTGTACAAGAGTTGCTCACATCAGCTCTTTCTTCACTGATCAGTAACACTTTGCTGCAGAGATCTTTGAAAGATACATAGTAACTGTTTGTTACTTTATAATAGGTTACAGCTTTTTCATGCAGTTGACAGGCTTTTTTTTCTGAGATCTGCCCTATAACTTAACCCTTTTGCTGCAAGAACCAGTTTTGCATTTTGGCCTGAGGCCAAACATTATATATTTTCTGAAAGCATACACCCTAGAGCAGTGCTTCTCAACCTCCTTTCAGTCAAGGCACCCTTTAAAATTATGAATAGTCCTGAGGCATCCCATTTTAAAATGTGAAAATCTATTCCAATAGTTTTATATCACACATCAACATCCACACATGTAGGACACCTAACGTTAGAGGTGATTTATTCTTCCAAAACAAATACACTTCTGCACACTGGTACTGACTAGTATTCCAGTGTTTATCCTCTTCCTCAGTTTTTATCCATCACTGAGCTAATGTGACCCCAGCACTGATGGAGAGGGGCAGTGGAGGGGAAAACTAGGATGCTGTGCAGGCAGCTGACATCCTCCTTATCAACTGATGTCATTTGTTGTAAGGACGCCGGCGGTTAGAAGGTCATAATGGTGCACAATGAAAACCTGTGGCTTTGTGTAATTAAAAGGCAGGTTTCTTCCACCCAGGGATGGACTGACAACTCATGGGGCCCCCAGGCAATAGGGGATCATGGGGCCCCTGTGTCATCACCTACACTCAAGCCACACCCAAAAAAGCCTATGAAAGGTACCAGGGGCATCTCATGGGGCCCCCTACTGACCCCAGGCCCTCGGGCAGCGCCCGAGTTTCCAAATGGTCAGTTCCACCTACTGGCTTGTATACAAGTTTTGCACAATTTTTAAACATTTTGACAAGGCACCTTTAAAGAACCCTCAAGGCACCCCAGGGTGCCTGGGCACCCTGGTTGAGAAAGACTGCCCTAGAGAATAGAATAGTGATAGTTCCAGTTTTATAACATTAGCGGTTTACGAAACACAAACTTTCAGTAAAAATAAACTAAAATTAATTTTAGGGCACATCAACACAATATGTTACAATAGATACCCAACATGTCAAGCCTTAACCACTTCAATACTGGGCACTTTTACTCCCTTCCTGCCTAGGCTAATTTTCACCTTTCAGCGCTGTCATGCAACACTGCACCCATAGGACATTTTAGCATTCATTCACACAAACAGAGCTTTATTTTGGTGGTATTTAATCACTGCTGAGTTTTTACATTTTGTACTAAATAACAGAAGACCAGAACTATGGTATATATGTGAAATTTGATCAGTCTTGATGTACTGATGGCCTATCTCATTTCTTGAGGCTCGAAAACACCAGAACAGTACAAATACCCCCCAAATGACCCCTTTTTGAAAAACAGACAGTCTAAGGTATTTAGTAAGAGGCACAGTGAGTTTTTTGAAGTTGTGATTTTTTTGTCACAATTTTTTGGAAAATGAAGAAATTAATTAAAAAATTTTTTTTACCATATTGTCAGCAGTTCAATACAGCGTATATCACTGGCATGGTGGTGATCAGGGACTTTGACCGGTGACAGTATGTAAAAAGAAAAAAAATTATAAGAATTTTTCATTTTTATTTAATTTTTTAAAATATTTTAAAACTTTTTATTAAATTTTTTTCTATTTCACTATTTTACACATTATGATTGCTTATATCAATGTATTTCATCGATATAAGAAACCATTTTTACTGCATGAAACTGACGCAGTGTCTGTTGTTGTAATTAGCTGTGATTGACCAAAGTTATTCACAGATATTCTGTGATTGGCCCTGTCTGTACCATGTGATCACTGTGACCAATCACAGCTAACAACACAATTGTATACAATGGATGGCGTGAAAAGAAGCCATCCATTGTTTACAGTTGTCATGTGATCTGCTGTGATTGGTCACAGCAATCACATGACACTGGCAGTGGGATGGTGTAGTGATCAGTCATCGGCTGTGTCTGATGAACACAGCAGGTGACAGATCGCACCGCTGCGGCTGCACAGTCCCGTGGCCATGTAAGCAGCACCTTCTGAGAGGACAGCATATGACGCCCTCGCAGAAGGAGGAACTGCCTGTTCGGCCTTCCTTTACAACCTCCTACTGATCATCTATATCAGTTTAGAGTTAACCATGAATAATGGACCTAGAATTATTGGTCTCACTCTGGCACATGCAGTGATATGTAACATGTGTAGCACAATCAAAGCAGGCGTCAAAATTTTTTGTGAGCTTAGCTGGAATCTTTGGGTTTTTTTACAAGTATTACCGTTGTATTTTTTACTAACTGTTTTTTCATTAAGTAGGGAACAAAAAGTCCCCATGCTATCTGAACTGCATAGGTTTCATTGGAGGGTAGGTGAGACATCAGGGATATTTTAGACCCCTGTAGTCTCATTAAAGCCAAACCCACATAGAAGAAAATTATATTTGAATTATATTTTAAAAATTTTCTTCCCAATTATATTGACATATATTTGAAATACTAATTTTGCCCATATTAAATATATTTCAATATATAATATACTGGGCAGCACAGTGGCTAAATGGTTAGCACTTCCACCTGGCAGTACTAGGGTCATTGGTTCAAATCCCAACCACGGCACCACCTGCCTGGAGTTTGCATGTTCTCCCCGGTTTCCTCCCACACTCCAAAGACATGCTGGTAGGTGAATTGGATCGTGTCTAAATTGGCCCTAGTATATGTGAGTTAGGGACCTTAGATTGTACACCCCTTGAGGGTTAGGAACTGATGTGAATGTACAATATATATGTAAAGAGCTGCGTAAATTGACGGTGTTATATAAGTACCTGAAATAAATAAATATATATCTATATTTTTAAAAATACCGTAAGTTTTTTTAAATATATTCTTCAGATTTTTTTAACATATATAAAAGTAATTTTAACATATATTTTTTTTACATATATTTGTAAATGCATTCCAAAAATGTAGATTTGTAGTGTTAAAGGCATACAGTATATTTGAAATGTATTTTAAAAAATAGTTTTCACATATTTTTTGTAATAAAAACACCTTTCAATGTGCATATATTTGGATGTAAATACCCTCAAATTAAAGCTGACAGTCTGCAGTTAACGCACATCTTGTTCGTTTCATTTCAAATCCATTGTGGTGGTGTATAGAGCCAAAAATGTTAGAATTGTGTCCCAATATTTATGGACCTGTCACATTGGACATTTCCACTCTTGTCACTCAAGAAAAGAGCAGAAATGCCCCTAATGGGGATCACAGACATTAACTACCTGCCGACCGCAGATAGCCGAATGACGGCTTCACTGCGGCCGGCCAGTTCTGAGTGGACGTCATATGACGTCCTCCCAGAACGCGCTCTCCTGCGCGCCCCAGGGGGCGCGCACCCGGCGATCTCCGTGATCGCTGTGTCCTACGGACACAGCTGATCACGTGATGTGCTAAAAGGCCAATCACAGCGGCCTTTTACCACGTGATCAGCGGTGTCCAATGACACGCTGATCAGAGGGAAATGCAAGTGCCGGTTCTCGGCTGCACTTTCCTCACGCTCTCAGATCGTGAGGAAAGTACTGCCAATAACCGGCAGTTGTCAGAGCAGGGATCGGCACCGATCATCAGGGCACTGATGATCAGTGCCCTGATGATCGGTGCCCAGCAGTGCCACCCGCAAGTGCCCAGCAGTGCACCCACCTGTGCCACTCTGCAGTGTCACACACCTGTGCCCAGAAGTGCCACCCACCTGTGCCCTGTGCCCCCACCTGTGCCCACCAGTGCCACCCACCTGTGCCCACCCACCAGTGCTGCCCACCAGTGCCACCCACCAGTGCAGCCCAGCAGTGCTGCCAGTCAGTGCCACCAGTCAGTGCCCAGGGGTTGTGCCAGTCAGTGCCACCAGTCAGTGCCCAGCAGTGATGCCAGTCAGTGCCGTCTATCAGTACCCATCATCAGTGTCACCTATCAGTGCCGCCTATCAGTGCTGCATATTAGTGCCGCCTATCCGTGACACCT